CTTTTTGTTCATTTTGCTCATATTTGACAAATTTTATTTTATGCCAAGAAATTACAGTGTCTGGACTTAAGTATGGATTTATTCTGTGAGTCTAGATACATTTAATATAACTTTGGAAGAACAACTCTACTTTATTACCAGACAATGTATACCAATGGTAATAAATCTCCTATAAATAAAAGCAGAGAAACCGTAGGTCATGTGTTTGATCCTTTTAAAAGTAACCAGTTGTTTAATCAGTTTGTCTGATTTTTTATAAAAATATTTATGTTCATATACTGGCAAAACCAAGGATTTTGATTATAAAAACAAGTCAAATACATAACAAAGCAGCCTGTAAATGCGGTGCTACAAGAGTACAATTTCCTGGCTTTTACCCAAAGAGGTTCTCTCCTCAATTATTTATATTTGCAAGTTCACCATTGCAAAATCTGTCTTTCAGACGAAATGATATTCCTCCTAGAACTTCTGAAGGGGGAAAAAAGTGTTTAGTAATGAAGGCCTTAAAAATATTGCTTTTGGGGGGTTTTGCATGTATGCAAAAGCATGCATTTAGGTAAAGCTGAAGCTGTCAAAAAATATTACAAAATGCAGTAATGTAACATGTACTGCAGCTACTAGGCTCAATCAAAGCTCAGAAAGGCACTTTTCTGATGTGCTATATTCCACTTATGCTTACACTAAAAGGAAGCTGTCCCAGTCAGTGAGGGAGACAGCATGACTCCTCTATAGCAGTTTTCTCAGTTATGTCATTCAATGTGATCTGATTGATTTGTGTGATTTACATAAGGACTAGTTATTTCTGAACTTCAAAGTCTATGTAAATTTCTCTTCTGTGACTATAATGGAGCCAATTGCAATGTATTTTAAAAGACAAAAGAGAAAAAACTTCTGAGCTGAGGAACGGCTCTCCTCAGCAAATGCAGGTTTTGAATACTTCTGAATGAAATTAATATCCACTTTTTGGCTGGTCTGCAGAAATGTATTTAGGTGTGAGATACTCTGAATTTTATATTTTTTTAAGATGAAAATGAGAAATGGGCTTTGAAAATGCATTTCATAGCATTTGCCAGCGGCAAGAAGGTGGTTGAAAATCAACATTTTGTTCATAGCTTTCTGAAATATTCGCACTCTAAATATTTTTTATGTTTGGGTTCTTACCAAGATTTCAGAATTGTAGAGCAAAATTTGATTATTTTTTGCATGAAAGATAATTTAGCTGTTGTTGAGGGAGGAAAAAGACCTTTGAAAATAAAGGTACAGAAAAAACAGTTGAAGCTGAAAACTGAAATATGGCTGTTCAGTGAAGGCTGGGTTTAGAAAGGCACTTAACTGCTGTAACACAGCATTTAAATTTTAGCCTTTAGACTTGCAAAGTAGCTGCACTACTGGTACAATTTGGACACCTAAAGCTATATCAGTACTGCTAAGTGACGTGAATACGGAGCAAGATTGAGAACAGGACTCATCTCATGCTCAGGTCACAGTTTAATTATTAGCCATCCTCCCGGATGTGTTTTGGGCCTCTCCATCTGTCTCTCTCCATGCAGTGCTCTGTTGGTAAGACAGAGTGTGCCTCCAGAGACCTGCATGAAGATACCTGTCTTGTTTGGGACCCCTCCCTTCTTTCCAACACTAAGTCTAAGCGCTATCAAACCTCCTGTCTCACTTCAATAAGCAACATTATATTTAGCTTCCTTTTACTCCCTTCGCTTGCACTACTGACTCCTATTATTCCAAACACTTTGAGTTGAAAAATAACCCCACAAAATATTGTGCATTTTAGTCACTCAGGCACTAAGTGGGATCCAGAGGAGATGTAGTGCCAGATACTATGTAGTAGTATGGGATGTGGCCAGCTTGTAGCAGAAGGTGGTAGCAGTAAGCAAAGTGAATGTAAGATGGAAGAGACAGCATATGTGCTTGTATTTTATGTCACCAGCATGGCATGTTCTGAAATCAAGGTATGCAGCATCCAGCTTGATCAGCAAGGATCTGTTTGAGTTTGTCCAAGGATGATGTAGTTATGTCAGATGCTGATATAGATATGTCAGAGACTTCTGTAGAAACTTTCTCCACCCACTTTCTGCTCGGATTTATCACTTGGCCTCTTCTCTTAAAAACTCATTACTTCTCTCCTAACATAAGCAGGGCACCTTTCTTTCTTGCAAAATGATGCCACCATTTTTTGTATGGGGAATATTAAAGCATTTAGACATGATAAGAGACACCGTGGTCCTGTCATTCATTTTGCTTAGCTGGAATTTATCCTGACTACTTCACAGTGGACTGTGTCTTGGAAGTACTCTGGTTAAAGCAGTTCTGTAATGTGACAAGAATTCAAGATTCACAGGGTCTGTGTAAATAGGTATTCTAACTGGCCTTGCAGGGTCCTGTCCTAGCAGACTGGGGATATGACCTGGACCTCTGGCAGACTAAGATATGATAGCTAGTTTCCTCTCAGGTTGCACTTGTTATAAAATAAGGCTCACATAAATATTGATGCAATGTGTTCTATATAAATATAAAGGCAGGGAATATATAACATGAAGACAGGGACTGTCTTCGCTCTTCGAGATATGCTTTTCAAGAATTAAATGTGTGAATTCCAGCTGAACTTAGGGGTCAACTACGTGCAGACAACTTGGTGTTGACAAGACTTCTGGAACTGGGAAGAATCATAATTTTAAGCAGATACGAACTTTGTTCTTGAAACTCTCAGGGCCCACAGATAGAAATGTTCCTGGCTTTAAGCAGCAATTTCACTTTAACTTTTAATACTCCCTTGTTGACCATAAATATATGTATTCTGCTTACTTCCTGCTTTGGTGCTTGTCCTTTTTTAAAAATTTACGTGTTCTAGGTTTGGAGATACAAAACAGTGGGATAAATGACTCTAAAAAGTAGTTCTGATCAGTGGAAATAATAAAGTTCAGCTCCTCTTGAATTTAGATTTTCTGCAGTTTAATAAGGTGAAAGTTCCCTCTAGTGCTTCTTCTAACCTGTGAGTCATTCATAGCGTCATTCTTCTGCAGAGATTCTCTGATATCTGTGAGGAACTGACCTCATCTTTCACTTTTTTCCCCAATAAAGGCAGTAATAGAGCCTCTCTCCTCTTCTTCACTCAGTTGTCTATTTCAAAAAAACATATTAGATCTTAATGTACTGACACCTGAAGTGCTCAGTCAAAAGCTATTGGAAAAGGATGTATAAATATACCTTCATACACACCACCAGTGTTATGCTAGTAAAGTGCATTTCCTGAGGAAACTAAGGCAAAAATCCTTTCTGAGCATACTCAGAAGCCTGTGCTGTATCTCATAACAGAAGCTTTTTCATGTAAAAATGTCCTGTGTAAAGACTATGTTCTGCAAAATTCTCTGAAAATAAATGATTTAACATCAAAAAGGAAGAAACAAATTCCAGAGGAAAAGAAGTGCAATTTTAGTACAATCCTGATAATACAAACCACATCAGTAAGCTTAGCCTGTACCACTAGTGCAAAGTCTGATTCATGCTTTCAGCACAAGCTACCATGATTACAGAAGAACAGTTTAATCCCTTCAAATTCATGTTAGAAGTGTTGCATTTATTCATAAATCAACACAATGAGTGAAAGGAGTGCCATTGCTTTGAAATCTCCTGTCCCGGAATTTTGAAATCACTGAGGAATCTGTAGCCCTTTGTCATTGCTCTAGATTGTCACTTCAGCAGGAGAAACCTTGTGCTCCTCTGCACCACGACAAGATGCTATTGTGAGTAGTACCTAATGTGCACTTTTAATCCAAGTTAGAAACTCTGGCCTGAAAATGTACATTGTACTAGTACATATAACTTTAAAAGTCTGAGATGGAACATATAAATATGAAAGAAAGCAACAAAGTAATATTTACCTGAGGAACTTCACATGTAGTCAAATATGACCGATTTGTCTTCCAGAAGATGATTAATCCTACCCTTCAAGAGATGGGATAAAAAACCACACAAAACGGACCTATTTCTCTCCATTGAACATGAAAGGCACATTGTTGAATAGATGCCCGGTATTTTGATGACTAAAAAAGATGAGATAAAGGATCATTACAAATAATTAAGTCTTACTCAAAAACCTTTCCCCAGCCTCCATATTCCCTCTCCAGGAAGTCCATACCATTCTAGTGCAAAGTGTAACACCTATTGCTAAAAGTTTATATCTACACACTACTTCTTTCTGTCAACCATGTCCAGTGTTAACAAATTAGACTGAAAATCCTAAATTCATTGGGTGTCTTTCCATTGTCTCTGTTGTCTTTTTAAAGTTCACCATGTGTCGTGCTGATATGTAAATGGAAATGCATTAGACTGTTGTCTGTAATGCTTTTTGTCACTTGAGATGTTAGAAGCATAAAAAAATGAACCAAACCAAACTAAACCAGAACAAGAAAACACCAAACCCTGCCTGATCTCTTTATGAAATTTTCGGAGAAGACTGAAGGGTATTTTCATCTGAAAACAGCATGATATCCCTTTGTCATGGTGCAGTTCTGAATAATTTTATGAAAATTGTCAAGATTATCCTGGATTTACCGTGCTTTGATAAGGAGGAGATTTTAATCCAATGATGGTGTGACTGACAGTTCTAGCTTACATAGGAAGAGTGAGAAGTCTCCTCAGGATCATCCACATTAGGATCAGTCAGTTATTATCCAGCTGATTCCCTGGGTGTTTTTCCTTCACTTTTCAGTAGATTTTGTGTGGGAGGGCTGGGGAGACAAGCACTGCCATCAGTAGGGGAGTGTTGATTTTTGCATTCCTGAAAGTCACTGCTGTGCTAAATGAAGATAATTGGCAGGAATCAATTAGTCTCATAAGAGGGTGTTATTAAGAGTTGAGCTCTTTTCACAAATTGCTCCTTCTGTGCTTATTGCTTGAGAGACATAATCTCAGCGATCCCGAACTTCACAGAATAGGAGATTGATTTCCTCCTTTTTCTTTTTCTTTCCCCGCCTTAAACTCTGCAGGTCAGTCCCACCCCAGGGTGCATCCGGGCGTTAATGAAGATGTTGTACTGCCCTTACTGCAGAGGACTTCCCACTGTGAAACCTTGCAACAACTATTGCCTCAATGTAATGAAGGGCTGCCTAGCAAATCAGGCTGATTTGGATACTGAGTGGAATCTGTTCATAGGTAAGAAGAGTTTAAATATTAGTGGAAGGAAACGCTGGTAATAGCAAATATTTGCTGAGTTCAGTGAGGTTAGGAGACACTGATGGTCAATATTTGGAATGAAACAACTGCAGATGCACCTAACTTTCTAACTGACCTTCCTGGCTTGCATTAAGAAATAACTGTTTGCCCTTCCCTGAGCCAGTCATGTTTAGTATTTCATATTTCAAAAGGAATGGTGTGGTGTTATGGCTTCGGAGCTGAATTATTACATGCCATGTGAAATGTTGAGAAAGATTTGGTTGAGGATTTGATAACAAGCTTAACATGGCAGAAATAGTATGTATTACAACTGAAAACTAGGCTCTTGCAAGCTGAGAAGATAATAACATTGTGTAACATCCAGTCAACGTAAATCACAAGAGATGCTGTTCTTCATTCTGGTAGTACATAGGCAAAAAACTTTAAAAGTTACATACATGAGAAATTATTAATTCCTTATTCTTGCTTAAAATATGTCAATGTCTCCCTTTCAGTGTACTGAATAGAAAGTACCAAACACGATCAAATGTTAGAATGGAGCATAGAGTATGTATTTAAGGAAAACTGCTACTACAGTTTTATTCGCCTAATTCTTCACTCAAGTAAACTAAGAAGAAAATAAGAAAGAAATTTCCCTTAAACAGCCATTCAGTTATCCTGTAGCCAAAAAAAAAAAAAACACACACACACAAAAAAAATCCTCCCAGAAGAGTAATATATAATAAGAAATAAGAGGTTTAGGTTGCTTTTTGTGATAGGATGACAGGGTAGGATGAGGAATTAGACAAGGCTAATGATGATATAGAAAGAACAGAAACAGCTACTTACACCAGTCACTAATGAGCATCATAGTTTAGACTGGATTTCAGGAAAATTAATACAGCTGGAAAAAAATGAGATAAAACTTTCTTTATTGTGACTGAAGAAAGGAAATGTTATTTTCTACTTTGGAAAGATAAAACACGAGCAATCTTGTCCTGCTGAATTTCAAACCCCACTGACCAATGTGACTTTGAAAATTTGATTCTGTTTCGTTCATGGATTTTTTGCTTTACTCAGCAGGGCGAGATGGATAGGGAGAAGAAAACAGGATGAAAAATGAATCAGAGTATGAAATGTGAAAATGAGCATTGAGTGTGCTATAAAAATAGCATGCAAACAACAATATAAAACAAATGATGCATGTACACATGCCTTCCCAGTACCTACTATTACTTAAAGGAGTTGACATCAGAAACTGCGCTGTATGGAGGGATACCCATGGGATTACTGGTGTGAAAAGGAGAGTCCGATCATCAGCAGCAAGCTGAGTGAGTTCTGATGGGAAAACAATGCTAACCTATTAGAGACATTGCATAAGCTACTTTCCCTTTGTCATTAAAGAGTAAGCAAGAGCTGAAATGTCACTAATTCCAGTCAAAGAAAATAATCTAGGCTTTTAGAAAAAACGTACCAAACGTTTGAATGACATAGTTTTTATTAAGGTATGCACCTGTTTAAATCAAAAGCTGGAAGGTAAGGTTTCAGGTCTTAAGAGAACATTTCATTTTCTGGTGCTTTAAGTTCAGCAAGAGTGCTGGGCAGGGTGGCATATGTGTTGGAAAGCATGGAAATGCTTACAGACCGAGACTTTCAGAGTCTTTGTCTTCATCAATGTCTTTCACATTTTGATTTTTCTTACTCTCAGAAAAGAAAAACTGCATGAAACCTTATACATTATGTTAAAACATAGTGCTAATTTATTAAATACTATGTCAAGCAGGCTGCTATGCAATTATCCCTGCAAGTCAGTGATGACAAGGCAGTATACCAAACAAATACATCAAATCATGTTTCCTCTTTCTTCTAACTATACAACTTCCCCTCTATAACTTTATGGGGAAGAGAAAAGAGGAGGAACAGAGATTTTCATGTGGTGGGAAAAGATATGCTGCTTTATCCCATTTTTCAGGCCTCTGACAACTTTGTAGAAGAAGAGGATCCTTCCTTTATGAAAGATTGAAATGAAGCAAGTCGTCTCTGTCTCTGGCAGCTGTCAGAGGCTTTCTAATAACACATGCAATTCCCTTATTAGTAAACCCAACAAAACTTCTACTCACTGAATTAAACCAAACAGCAGCACTTTACAGCACCGCTGAGCTATGAAAGATTGGAAATTATGCATGAACAGTTTTTATCCCTGTTCCGATACTAGGAACCATGCACTAGGAAAAAAAAATAATTTTGTGCACTAACAGTCTCTGCATAGGCAGAAATCCCAAATGTTAGTGCATATTCATACACAAGATAGTTTTGCTTAGTTCATAATCTGTGCATTGTAAGATCATTTTGGCAAAAGTTGGTATGAGGAGAAAACTCTCAGATATGCTTGTCAGTAACTAAATCCTGTAGTTTGGACTGCATATCCTGGTGTTGTTCTGTAGTTACTGTAATGGTCCAGCAACAGCCAAGATCTGCAAGTGAGGAGGAGCACAGGAAAGTAAATAGGCTGTCTCACAACAGAATGTGTTGCATGTTTCACCTAGTTTATAAATATAGAAGTCAGAACTGAAATCACATATATATAGCACTAATAAATCTTGCCTGTACTTTCAAAACTGGGGATAGTGGGACAGCTTCCCCTAAACATCTGGTGCTTTCCAAGATTTTATAGACTGTGAAAATTGGTAAGAGGTAAAACAGCTGCAGCATCATGACACATGGTTTATTATATATTTCCTGTTTGTGTCACCTTAAAGCCTGTGTCCTTTTTGTGTGATGTTTCATTATAGACTTTTTGTATTTAGTTGCCTTCATTATTGCACGATAAAAGCCAAATGTAGTACATCTTATTGTAGCAGATCCTCTGCAACTCAGAATTTTGCCTGAGAAAGGAAGACAAATACATAATATCACAATTATGAAACTGTAATGAATAAGTAGTCCTTCCAGGTATCTGTATAAAATATTTAGGAAGTATTTAAAGTAAAGTTGCCACACTGATTTTGAAAATGTGTGTTTTGGTAAAGCCTGCTTTTGAAGTTTTGACTGTTAGTTTACCTATCATAATCTCCTCTGTAAAAGTCTCAAGCAAATTTAGCAAATGCAAGAAAAAAAGAATGATCAGAAGAGCTGTACTGCTGATGAAGGAGATTGCCTGAGGGAGGAGCTGTCTGATTCTGTGGAATGGGGAAAAGGAGGTTTTCTTTGTCTCACTGCCCAACAGATATAGTCAAAATTATGCTTTTCTCCATGGAGCCATACCAATTAACAGCAAGAAGGATGAGAGATCCCACTGTTCAGTCTGTCACAGAAAGACAGAAGAGATAAATAAAACTAGTCCCACTTACAAAAATTCAGACCCATCTATCTTACAGAATGACACTAAAATTTAGCAATACTGTTACTCCTCTTTCTCTTGCTAATCTTCATTTCAGTCCATGTTCATATCTTAAGATTCTTTTATTTTTCTTAATCTTGGCTTTCCCTACAGTTGATCACTTATTTGCCTTTAACTGCTCTTTTCTCAAGCAGGAATGTCAGTTGTGGAATGAGCCCACCTACCACCTAGGTGGACACCACACTTTCTCTTGGTGCCCTCATTCAGCTTCAGAATCAATACTCATAAAAAGATTATTTCCACAGAAGCAAGTACCTCTCATTCTGACATGTGCCTTAATCACTGGTTCAGGATAGCAAAGAGTCCATAAGGCATTTGGGTTTTTGGGATTTGTTTTACAGTTAGCATTGGAGTTAACTTCTGTCTTGAGAAAAAATGATAATACTAAATATGAAAGTCTAACAAGATTGTGAGCCAAATATGATAATCCTTACATAAGTAATTGAGCACAACAGAAGAGTAAAAATCTGGCAAGTTGTTTTAATCATATCAGTTACTCTATCTGAGCTTTGTTTTTGTAGACATGTAAAGTAATTCAAAAATGCTTTGTTGCTGCAGTTAGTGACAAGATGTAATGAATGTGTAGCAGCATAGCAATGCAATTCATGGTGGTTTGACACTGAATGGCTATTTATAACAACAGAGAGTATAAGTCCTTTTTCTTTTCTCTCTAAGAATTATTCAATGATAAATCAGACTCACCTTAATCTTACCCCCATGTTTTAATAGATGGGAGATTGTGGAAAACACTTCAAAGGTTGTGCAGTAACAGAGATGTGAAAATAACAGTGATTCTGATAGCTCAGGATTGCATCCCTGTCTGTGGAAAGGAGCCAAGGCTTTCCTGCACTAATTCATGTCCACAGCCATCCTTCTGCTTAGACTGGAAAGAAAGTCACTTTGCTATCAGTGTATTCAACATTTGACGAGTTCTGTAGTGTAGTAAGGCAGATCAGCATGTAGCATGTTCACACTGCAGTATGCAAGGCCTGCAAGGCTGGCATCCAGGCTCAGAGAGCCAGAGAAATCTTTTACCGCCACCATCCTGCTAAGCTTCAACCAGAGAAGAAAATTGTACCTGAAAGGCATCAGCAAAAGCTCCTCCTTCCAGTGTTGAAGTTGTTTCACTTACTGTCATTACAGCAGCTCTGCATTACTAACAAACTTTCTTCTTCTTGTGCTTTAAGAATCCCTTTTTTCTTCTCATCAGTATGACAGAGACACTGCCCTTAGGAGATCTTCTGAGGCAGAGTGTACCATGCAGTCTCACTTAGAGCAACTAGACCATTTTAAGTAAAACTCCCCAACAAAACCTTACCTACTTAGTCCTAATGAAAGCTTTAGTGCTGAAAATATGCAATCAGTTTTATTTACTACCTTCAAAAGTCCTCAGGTCTCTGTGTTTTCTCTCTTATGTGTGCAAGCACAAGGATAAACATTTTCCTTCAAGAAACTCCTGAGATTTGACTTACCATAATGGCTTATGACAAGAATAACTGCGGTCTTCAAGACTCACCTTGCTTCATAGGGAAATCAGTCTAGAATTGTAATAGCAATCTTATACTATTTTCTTGTGCTTGTGTACACAGCTACTATTAAT